GGTTCTCTTCGACTGAGTCGCCTTTTTTGCACCAACCCGATTTTATTACGCAAGAGAGGACTCCGATCTCGACGACCGTTTCCCTCGTTCCCTTCATTCGCTGGTTTTCGGGTTTTTGGGTAGCAAGAGGTTCAAACGACAGTCACGATCACACGAGGTCATCGAAGGGTTTCAGCGCAACAGGCAGAAAAGGATATCACTAAGACGTTTTCATACGACACCGCAACTGAGCAATCAGAAAGAGAGAGGAAAAGAAGGGTTCAAAGACATCAAGAAAGTCAACATCAGTATTTCGTAATCGGGAAAGATGGGTCGTCTTATCAAGAACCACTGGGCTCGCCTCATCGTCATGAGCGCTGCAGTTTGTAAGTCCAGACTTACACCAACGGGCCTAAGCCCACGCCATCACACTAGTTGCTAACTCTATTTGACAGACCAGTTTGGAGCCGCTCTCGAGGGCTTCTTCTGGCCCAAGATCTTTTGGGACTTTTTGACCAAGACCCTGGATCCGGCCGTCAAGCCTATACCGGTACTGCAGATTATCAATCTGATCATGTCGGTGTTCATGGTGGCCCTCGAATGGCCCATGCCTCTCATCGCCGGCAGCGCGATCCACCGCAGTCTGGAGTTCCGCCTCATCATGCTCCCTCTCACGACTCTCGCCGCCGCCCTCATCTACCAAGGCACCAACGCTGCCCTTTACTACCTCATCGCTCTTGTCGTCTATTTCTGGGCCTACAGCGAAGGAGAGATCATCTGCGCTAAGCCCTGGACACTCCCCCAGAGAGGCGCTCGCGGCAAGGTCTAAACTAAAATCTCGCCTTTCACGCTCATCACTCAGTGTGTACAACCCGTCTCGCCTTCGCAGGCTTACAACCCGACCGAGAGACAACCCGTGTGCAACACTCAACCCCACGACGAGCAACACCAACCTCCACCCCCAACCTCGGACGAACCTACGAAACCCTAATCGTTCTTTCTCTGAGCAATGATTCCAACCGAATTTCTTATACATGTTTTTAACGATACGATTTCAATCGAATATCACGGCATCTAGCATCGGCGTTTTTCCTCCTCAATCCGATAGGGAAAAATCGAGTTTTCTTCTTTCCAATTGTCCATCAAAACCTCACAAAAAACCAACACGGCTAAAAAAAAAACCGGACTTCTCGAAAGACAAAAGAAAGATTTCCTTTTCGGGTCAATTTCCTCTCTGCAAGTCATCTCTAAGCGTTGGGCGAATCACTTTCTTCTGGTGTGGGTGGTCGAAGAGGAGGACAGGTGGACAGGGGGGCAGGGTCAACCATGTTGGTATTCGTTCGTCCTGTTTCGCAAGAGCGGGGACCTTAACGAGCCTCATGGGCTGACGTCGGTGGCCACGGAGACAAGAGGCACCCTTGGCGGTTGTATCATCCCGAAGCCCGGCTCAACACCATCTTGGGTTGTGGGGCTCGGATGGATGGGATGGATGGTGGGAGGAAGGAAGAAGAAGAAGAACAAGAGTGTGCCCCTTCTACCATGTAAGAGAAGGGGGGAAAGAAGCCATCGCTGTCAAAAGAGAATGTGGCCATGGATACCATAGCGAATAGCCATACCAATGCTACAACCTAATGTCAAGAAGACCAGAACTTGCCAAAGCAACTCACACGATACATCCGTCGGCCCATTGTGTGAACACATAACCACCCACCCATGCCTTGCTCTGCTTCCTCCTCCCTCCCTCCCTCCCTCTCGATTACCGCTTGGGGAAAACTTGCTCAAACTTCACGGTAAAGACGGCAAACAAGCTTAACACACGCTGACATGTTCACCCCTACTTTCTTCCCATCCTTCCAGAAGAAGACAAAAAAAAAAAAAAAAACCTTACATCATTTGACAAGACCCTGAGTAAGTATCCAGTCAGCCCTCTTCCCGAAAGGAGAAGCTAGCCTCACAACCCGGAATTCTCGTATTCACCCCAGGCCATGTCGTCTTGGGGGCTCGCCCAGCGGAGAAAATTTAAACAAGAGATGCGGCTACAATCTTGCAATTTGCGTAGGGCAGTGCAAATTGCAACTGTGGATTCGCCCGCTGGATCCCTTCACATATAGCCCGGGGGGGTGGCGGAGGTGAAGCGGCTTTGCCCAACGGCCAGGTGCCCCCAAAACGGGACGATAGCACCGCTTCTATTATCATCACAAGCGTTGTATATGCAAGGAACAAGCAAGTCAAGGAGGAGAGGGAGAGTATTGGCGAGATTTCTTGAGACGACAGCGAAGAAAAAAAGCGAGCAGGGGCCGTCTCGAGGTCTCCACGTTCACAACACCTGCCCGAAACACTGTCGAAACGGGCGCACATCACGAGCAGCGGGTGTTGGGCGGTGGACAGCGACTGACACCCCACCACACCGAATTTTCCTCTTCTTGTGACAGGACACACCACCTCTCTCACGTGTGTTGCGTGCGCCCCGAGAAATCGTCTGGTTTTTGGTACCTGCAGAAGCTAGCTAGCTGGTGTTGCGCGTGGGTTTGGGGTTAACAAGTCTTTATATAGCCCAGGTGCCCCGGGCGGTCGGGCTCGTTGCTTCGCGATGACCCAGCGGTTGGAAAGCGGGTCCTTACATGCGGTTACCTTACTGCCATGAGATTAGGTACGCTGTCTGGGCGTAGTCGATTGGACGGAGTTGTTCATTTTACTTCAAAGAGCTGTCAATTGGAATGATGAAGGCGTATTGAAGAAAACATCATCCGGAGGAATTTGGAACAGCCCTGACGATTCTAAGGGCGGGGAGAGAGGAACGACGGTTGCTGCCAATGCTCGCCCGGGCCATTGTCGGTAGCGGCGGCAAGTATTGTGCGTACTTGGCGGAATCTTGATGTTTGACAATCACACGATGATAAGACGCCAAGTCAGGAACGAAAACGAATTGGGATGTCATGCGCTCATGATTAACTATCTCATCACTAAGGTAGAAATCCATGCAATCGACCCGTGGCTAAACACACTGGCGTCGATATGAGCCCTTGACGAACTCGGGGGGAATGTTTAAGGTTATTTAGCAAGGTAGCATCCCACTCTCGAAGTAGCCCACTTGCGCAAACCTTCCCCGCCATTGCAATGGTCATTAAGAGACACAATTCCCATCTTGATGTTGAGTATCCTTCGCCCCAGCGCAATTCCTTCGCTGACCAGTTCTGCACAACATCATCGCTCAAAATTCAACGCTCTGATCCATTACGCCTGGATAACCTTTGCGTATGTCTCGATCCGTGGAGGCGCCTTGAAACTACCTTCCGGTTGCGAGACAGTCCATGCCGACTCCAGCCGGTGCATGTTCTTGCCATAGGGGCCTCCTAGTGGGCGACCATGCCGCCCTGGGAGTCGTTCTTGGGACCTTGGCGGTCGGGGAACTGTCGAGAGTTCGTCAGTATGGTTGACTATTTCTGGCTCAACGTGAAGCTTACCTCAACGTTCTGTGTGTCACCCTTCTCCAAGATCTGCTTGATGACATCCTCATCGACGTGGGTGCCGAACTCGTTCTCCAATGAAGCCTTGGAGGCGGCATCGTAGGTGCCCTGTGCGCCCTGCCTATTTGGGTTGTTAGCCGCCGCGCGCACCATTGAGGCTGATGTGGTGATGACGAAGAGGTGAGGGGTAGGTCTCCAAGCCGGTCGGCGGGTAGAGTGCAGCTTTTGGCCAACCACCGACGACCCAGGCCGCTATTGTGAGGTTGGGGCGTATCGCCAGCCGCCAGTGTCTCTAGACGGCCGAAAGGGTATAGAAATGATAGGCCGGTAGACCTGATAATGTGTGAAGACGATTGTAGACTTACTTGTGCGTGACGAAGATCTTGAATGAGGAGACGAAGTGAGCCAAGGGAACGGACTTATCGCCCTTCCACTTCTTGTACAGCTCGGGGTCCTCGACGAAGATGAGGAAGTCGTCGTTGGCGCCCTTGTAGTGGACCTTGGTCTGCTGAGCCTCGCCGCGAACCATTTTGACTGTGTTGTGGGTGTTGTAGGTGGTAGGTAGGTGTGGTGATGGTATTGTGATACTGAGCTCCAATGGAGGTCTTTCGCTGGTGCTTGAATGTGTGTGTGAAGACGAAGATCGTCGGGTATCTTGATATTGTTGAGGTGATGGGGATTGATCTGTGGAATGAAAGTAGAAGGGAGCTTCTGGAAAGGCTTTTTAAACCATAGGCTAGGGAGGGGAGCTTCCTCAGCTAAGGCAGGAGAGGGCAGGAGCTGTACAGCTTGTGATTAGGAAGCTACGTCATAGGTGCGGGAACACGCGACTGCCTTTCATCACTGCCCCGCCATTCGAGCTTGCCCAGGGAGAGAGCGGGGCACCAGTGCCTCCGTGCTCCTTCCAGGTACGTCGCTTTTAGGTACCGGGAACACTGAGCGTTCCTGCATTACACCACTCTAGTACGTCACTGCTAATTCTCTGACCAAGATTTAGGCCAAAGGGATTTTCACACGTTGCGCCTGGAATGATCCAGATGGAAAAGGAACATTGGGGGCAGGTCCAGCCTCCTTGGAATTCCCGCACTCTCGTGTCGCGGGGTACATTGACGCAAGTCACCCGAGCCTCGCTGACCAGCAATCACCACAGCAGCATGCCATTGTGGGGCTCAAGAGCTGGAGCTGAACCTGGTGGAAGCTTCCCAAAACCTGGAGAGGTCGGACATCCGTTTACCTTCCACCTGAGGCAATCAGAGATCAAGCCACATTGCAAACCTCACGATGGCCTCACTGACATCACATGCGACACGTACGTCAAAGGCCCCAGCTTTCATGCAATGGAGGGGTATCATTATGCTCTCGTCTGCTCGACGACCAAAACAGCCTAATGCTGCGTAAACTAAGAATAGCTGGGGACAGGTCACCTCTGGCCGACTGCCTCGGGTACTGTAGATTACCCAATGCGGGTCAAATAACGAATGTGATGTCTTCATGCTCCCATCCAACCCAATCTATCAACCGTAGTGATGAACATTCGTTAGTCATAGCTTCCTGCTATCGGAAGAAGCTTCGGATGCCCTGCACCCAGTCCTCCTTGTTCAATGTTCCAACTCTTCCCCATCGTAGCGACGGCTTATGGGACAGCCTAGGCACCTTTTGTGCTCGGGCTTGGTTAACCACGTCCAGTGGACGAGGAGACCTCTTGGACGGCAGTGGGCTTCGACGAGCTCGAGGGATGTTATTTCCCGACGCCGTACGCAGAACAATCGGCCTAGAATGTAGAGCGTTTACTGCCACTCCTTTGTCGCATTCTAGCCGCAGCCGCTCAATTGGATCAGCGTGCACGTCAAGCTTGACCGGGCCCAACATTGGCGTCGTGGGAGCGCTGACCGTGCTTTTGAATTCGACATCGTCGTCAATCTTCGGAAGCCGGGCAGTTGTTGTTTCACTCGCTTCGTCATCGGAAACGTGCTTAGCGTCGAAAGGCTCAGCCTTGGTAAGCTTGGTGGAAGGCCCGTGATGTGCGTCCTCCTGTTTCTCGCCCGAGTCATCCTCCGACATAAACTTGCCTATGCTTGCCACGCTGTTTGACCTCTTCGCGAAGGAGCTGGCGATGCTCGCCACACTCAATTTTCGCATCACAGTGCTGGCGGAGCTCCGGACAAGATGCTCGCTGCGGGACCTGCTATTCATGCTAGGGAACGGCAGCACGTCGCGACTCCAGATGTCAGACATCAAGGCCTCTAGTCGTGCTCTTTCGCCGCGCGGAGGAGCAATAACGGGTATGCGTGGGTTTGCTGTTGTGAGCAACGACTGCGAACGATTGATCGATGAGCTCGAGGTTCCCTCCGAGCCATCCCGCATAACGCTGGTGTTCTTGAGAATAACCTGGCACAAGGGCGACTTCGGGCCCACGGTGGTAGCACGATGGATCGATATTCGACGAGCAACAGTGCCTTGATCGGGGTCAGCAACGGCCGATACTCTGGCAGTCGTGATAACTAACCTGGTTTTCTAAACACCGTGCCCAGGCTTCGGATGGGGAGAGCAATAGAGCTGTACAAGTTGGGATCGACCTGCTCCTCATTTCTCTTGTTGGGAATCGACAACCTGCGGCGCCATTCCTCCTGCTCGCGCGGCGTGCATGCAGTCATGAGTATTTCATACAGTTGTGAGTCGCATTCGAATACAAGTTTCCACGAGAACGGAGCCGTATGACACTGTAGACCTGCACTTGTGTCAGTATAACGGGCCAAAGCAAACAGTGAGCTGTGCACCTACCCCGACCGTTGTCCGTTTCTTCAATCTTGATACCGTTCAAGTTGACACATGCTTGGATCGTATAAATCTGGTCCACCTTGCTGGCCGAAGCCAGACACAGGATATTGTGGTAGAGAAGGCAAATCATGTACTGCCCCTTGGCACCCTCCTTGGTTTGCCAGCAAATGTGCAGCACGCCGCAAAGTTCGACATGGCCAAATGATCGGATCCGATTCTTGGATGCAGCATCTAGCTTTTGTTCGGGGAAGGCCAGCCGATCTTGGAGAATCCACGTCTTTTCCAGGGTGGACTTCATCCGAGTATCGTTGGTTGCCCGGTTGATCTCCGCCGTCGCCTCTCGCAACCGGAGAAGGGCACTCTCCACCTCCATGTGGGAGTTGGGACAGTCTGCGACGGGCGTGTATTTCAGGAGCTCGGCAAACAAAAGCGGATACTTGCAGATGCGCTGAATCGGCTGGTTACGTGTCAGTTTGTGGTTACACGCAGTCAAGGCTCTTGGTGTTTACCTTCACGAGGAGGTCGCCAATAGTCAATGACTTCTTTGATTGATCGGCATGGGAGTTTGCAGAACCTAATGAAGAAGCCAGCGCCTCGATGCCCCTTTGATAAGTATCCCATTGAGGCATGGTGCGATGGGCTGAGGCGACATCTTTGATCATCAGCTCGTACTTGGCTCCGTATTCCTCATAAACGAAGAACCGGTTCATCTCGTGTTTTGTTAGCCACGGGTGTTTGCAGTAACCTAAATTGGCTGGGAGCCTACCTTTCTGCTAAAGACTTTGGCGACGGCGCCGGCTGTCTGTGCTTCTGACATCATCCCGGGAACATCTTGCAGCCAGCTTATGGCCCTGTCGTCTTCTGGCACAGAATCGAGACTTCTTAGCCGTTGGTGGCCACGAGTAGGGACTTTGCTAGATGTAGCAGGGACGTCTGCTTGCGAATACTCGGAGTCTGGAACAACTCTGTGCAGCTCCCCTAAGAGCTCTTCGTGGAGTTCAACAATGTCGGTAAGATTTCGATTGATCGAAGATCTCAAACCCATTGGCAATGTTGGGAGGGACGCAAGAATCGTAATGTATACCTGCGATGTTTAGCTCTGTGGGCTACTGTGCTTGGCTGGAGACATACATTCATGAGGAAGCGAATATCCCCAATGTAGCCTTCCTCGGTCTGAATGAGCTCCTCCAAGATGCGCCGGCGTTGTAAAGCACGCTCCGTTGCCATCGGGTCAGCCCTTACAGGCCACTCAACATGGCAACTGTCCTCTGAGCACCTTGTTGCGGTGAAGGATGCTCTACTGCTGCGATCAGTTCTGGACTGGGCAAAGGAACGGCGGGTGTATCCCCGAGGACGGGACATAACGCTGCCGCTCGCAAGACTGACGCTAGCACTTCTCACTGCCGCAACAAAACCGAAAGATGAGCCTGACGATGACCTCCTGTGTCGAGTCCTCCGAGATAGAGCTGACCTATCAGCCGGGTCGAGGAGTTTCCAGGGTAGGGTGCCATCCGCGTTCATAGCTTTGGGGCGTTGCCTGGCTCGTCGGTGCAGGTTCCTCATCCATTTGTGAAAAGGTCCATGGTGTTTACCTGGTGCGTCTGACTCTGACAGCTCCTGAACGTCGTCGTCGCTGTCGTCCATTGAGATGCGAGGGAATGGGGTAGTGTTGCCGGATGAGTTGTTGCTATCGTGCTCGAGCCCAAAAGCAGCCATGCCACTCAGAGTGTCCCAAACTTCGACGCCGTCAATATGTAGGCCGTCAAGTTCGGATGAAAGGTCGACATCTTCGAGTTGGTCGTCCGTGGTGGATGAGTTTTGCCGGGGCATTGGCGACGGGGTATTGGATGTGGCGGGACATGTCTTACGGGTGATTCGGACGGAACCTGAGCGGGAACTTGTTCCAATAGATGTAGAGTCTGGTGGCGATGGCGATGCCATTTTGAGGTCCAAGAAAGAGAATGGTAAGACTGGGTTCCAAGACACCAAAAAAGAGAAGAAGCAAAAAGCAAGCCCTAGAGGATTCAAAACATGATGTACGTGAGCAACACCAGGAGATGAATGATGCAAAATTGGTAGGACTGCGAGCTACGGGAGAGGGTTTTTTTTCCGGGAGGGTTGAAGAAGCCAACGAGGATGATGTCGCGGCTTGGAGTTCCTGACTCAAGGAGACGGGACGAAGGCCTGTGGGGGTTGACTAGAGCGAAGGAGGGAAGGGAGGAGTTGGAGAAAGAGTAGGAGGTGGGATGGCTCTTTCAACACGGCAGAGGAGGAAGTCTGGAGGCTAAAACAGACAATGGAATCGAGGAGTGGAAAGTCCTGGCCGAAACCACGTAGTTGGAACTTGTCCGGGACTATGTCGCGCGCACTTGCTTCGCCGGCTTCGAGTCCTGACGACGATCAAGCTGCATAGCTCTCACAGGTTGGCTACTACGAGAAAACGCGGCGTGGTACGGACCTGCAGTGGAAAGTCGCACCCGGCGAGTCTACCAACGAACCGGACGGGAGGAATGCAGCTGCGGCATGCAACGGACGAGAAAATGTAGAGCTAGTGTGAGACTCGTTGTCGGGTCAAGATCCGTGGATCTTGCGTCGCCGACGCGAATTGGACGGCGGCGTTGCACCTACGTCCAGCCGGAACATGCATATGATGCTGATGCTGTCCTCTGGTCCGGACGTGACGATTGGGACTGATTGAAGCTCGATGCAGGTTTCTGAAGATGGCGTCCTTCATACATGGCCAGCTCAACATGGCGGTGACGGGCCGCCTTCTATCAGCGCCATGTCTCGACGAGCGGCGTAGTGAGCGGGAGACAAAGGACGCTCTGTCTACCGGTCTCTTTGGCGTGTACCGGTCATCAAGATTTGCCATCCGTTCGCCCCTGCCCAACCATTGGCTTTGGTGGCTTTGCCCACCATCGCGCGCCCGAGGAATACACCAAGATACGTGGAAAAGTTTTGAGACCTCAGCGACTTTGGAGTGGGTATGAAGACGTTAATCGCCGCCGATGGCCCACGTCTTCGTCCTACCTTACGCAAGACATGAACCCACGATGCTATGCATGCGTTGCATTGCCGTTCGCCGCATGTTCGGCTTCGTTTAAAACCTGACTCGGTCTCGGCGATGGGTCTGGTGGTTCCGGAGCGGCCTAGTCCCAGTCCAGGAAAGACGGGGCCCGCGGGACTTGGTTCGGATCGGGAATGGGCAGTCGTTTCGTTTCTGAAGTGTCCTTTTCACGCGGCACTATTATGTAAGCAATATCATCACAGCTCGCTTACCTAAGGTAAGTAAGGTACCTGGATGGAACGATAAGGCGGCAGCTGGATACATCATACCTCACCAATTGATAGGTAGGCACTCATGTCGGGTAAGCTACGATAAAGACAGGGTCGACACTTTGCCGAAGTAAGCTTACTAATTAACGAAACGAAGGCACCTACTCCCAGGCCGTAGATCCGACACCTTAGTGCTGAACACTGCGAGGCTGCTACCTGGTGTTTCCCGGTGCTCAGATGCTCAGCAGCAGCAAAACTCAGTGTTTGATGATGACCTGTCCCTTCTACTGCTCTGCCCTACGGGCTCCCCGCCCTGGCTGGAGTTGCCGTCTGCAGCATGCTGCGTGAGACCTTGATTGGCTCTTGCCCCACGTTTTCTAGCCTCATCGTCGCAGTGGCTAGTCCCCGATCCGGACAGGGAAACACAGGGGAAAAGCTGGGACCTTGGGACCTTGGGACCTCTGTAGCAGGGGGAGCCCCCCACCGAGCCTAGCCGGAGACGGACTAGCTCGGGATCTTTCTCGACGGCAAAAAAAGTAGAGTTGCAGAAGGGTAGCCTGGCACCGGCCACTGAACGAACACGTAGAGCGTATTGGAAACTGGCTGTTCGGCGACGATTTCAGCTTCCTGCCCCACCGCCAGTGCAATAAGATATGCTGGCTGTCTGATCTCTACTTTTTCCAGCACCTTCTCTCCTTCATATCTTCGACTCCTAAACCTTTTGTTCGGTACAGGTTTGGAGTTTCTTTCCCTCTTCCTCCCCTGTTGAAGAGCTACCGTTCTCGTTCTCATCAACACGCCGGATCTCGATATCGATCACCGTTGAAGCTCGGCTAGCTGTTGCCGGTTCTCGACAAGCCACGTTCCGCGCTCGGCGCATCTTTCGCGATGGAGAGCGCTTTCGCCTCACCCACCGACAAGGTCCTCTCTACCCTGGGAGTGAACCCCAATACCGGTCTCACTGATGAGCAAGTCATTGCTTCAAGAACGAAGCACGGCAGAAATGGTGAGTTGCTTTGCGACACAAAACCCGAAACCCACGATAGCTCCGTGCTAACGGTCTGTCCGCAGTCATCCCCGAAGACCCGCCCACTCCCATCTGGGAGCTTATCCTCGAGCAGTTCAAGGACCAACTTGTGATAATTCTTCTCGGCTCAGCCGCCGTCTCGTTTGTCCTCGCCCTGTTCGACGAGGAGGAAGGCTGGAGCGCCTTCGTTGACCCAGCAGTGGTACGTAATCCCAGATGCATATACCCACAATACCAAGACTTTCTCGGGCTAACAGTGCCGGTATTCCAGATTCTGACCATTCTCATCCTCAACGCCGTCGTTGGTGTCTCACAAGAGAGCAGCGCCGAGAAAGCCATCGCCGCCCTCCAGGAGTACTCCGCCAACGAGGCCAACGTCATTCGCAATGGCCATGTCTCCCGCGTCAAGGCCGAGGACCTCGTCCCCGGTGACATCGTTTCCGTCCACATTGGTGATCGCATCCCTGCCGACTGCAGACTTGTCGCCATCGAGAGCAACAGCTTCGCCGTCGACCAGGCCATCTTGACAGGAGAGAGTGAGAGTGTTGGCAAGGACGACACCTTCGTCGTCAAGGATGACAGGGCCGTTTTGCAGGACCAGGTCAACATGTTGTTCTCTGGAACGACTGTTGTTACTGGTCGTGCTAAGGCTGTCGTTGTCTTGACCGGATCTCAGACGGCCATTGGTGACATTCACGAGAGCATCACTGCTCAGATCTCCGAGCCGACTCCTCTCAAGCAGAAGCTCAACGACTTCGGTGACAGCCTCGCCAAGGTCATTACGGTCATTTGCATTCTGGTTTGGCTCATCAACATCCCCCACTTCAGTGACCCCAGTCACGGAAGCTTCACCAAGGGTGCTATCTACTACCTCAAGATCGCTGTTTCTCTCGGCGTTGCCGCTATTCCCGAAGGTCTCGCTGTCGTTATCACCACCTGTTTGGCTCTGGGCACCCGCAAGATGGCTGCAAAGAACGCCGTTGTCAGAAGTCTGCCGTCGGTTGAGACACTGGGAAGCTGCAGCGTTATCTGCTCCGACAAGACCGGTACTCTGACCACCAACCAGATGAGTGTGAGCAAGATCGTCTACCTCAACGAGAATGGCAGCGACTTGGTCGAGCTTGACGTTGAGGGCACCACCTTTGCCCCCAAGGGTTCCATCTCTTTTAACGGCGAGAAGGTCACTGATCTTACCCGCTCGTCTGCTACCATTCGCCAGATGACTGAAGTTGCGGCTGTTTGCAACGACTCCAAGCTCGCGTACGACGCTAGAAGTGCCGCCTACTCCAACGTCGGCGAGCCTACCGAGGGTGCTCTGAGGGTTTTGGTTGAGAAGATTGGTCCCTGCGCCCCGTACAACAGCAACCCTGAGGACTGCATTCACTACGCTAGCTCCAAGTACGAGAATGATCTCCCCCGCCTTGCTACCTACGAGTTCTCGAGAGACCGCAAGAGCATGTCTGTCCTGGTTCAAAACGGCCAGGAGAAGAAGCTTCTTGTCAAGGGCGCCCCTGAGTCTATCATTGAACGATGCACTCACGCTCTGGTTGGCGCCAATGGAAAGCGCCAGCCCCTCGACCGCAAGCTCTCTGATCTGATCTCCAAGGAGGTTGTCGACTACGGCAACCGTGGTCTCCGTGTCATTGCTCTCGCCAGTGTCGACAACGTTGGCAACAACCCCCTGTTGAAGTCAGCAAAGTCTACCGCGCAATACGCACAGCTCGAGCAGAACCTCACTTTCCTTGGTCTGGTTGGCATGCTTGATCCCCCTCGCCCCGAAGTCGCCGCCTCTATTCGCCAGTGCAAGGCCGCTGGTATTCGTGTTATTGTCATCACTGGAGACAACCGCAACACTGCGGAGAGCATCTGCAGACAGATTGGTGTCTTCAGCGAGTATGAGGACCTCAAGGGCAAGAGTTTCACCGGCAGAGAATTTGAGAACTTGAGTGAGAGCGAGGCTGCCGAGGCTGCTCGTACTGCTTCCCTGTTCTCTCGCGTTGAGCCCAGCCACAAGTCGAAGCTTGTTGACCTGCTCCAGCAGCAGGGTGAGGTCGTTGCCATGACTGGTGACGGTGTCAACGATGCCCCCGCTCTCAAGAAGGCTGATATCGGTGTTGCCATGGGTTCCGGCACTGATGTTTCCAAGCTTGCCGCCGACATGGTCCTCGCTGATGACAACTTTGCCACCATTGAGAGCGCCATTGAGGAGGGTCGTTCCATTTACAACAACACCCAGCAGTTCATTCGTTACCTTATCTCATCAAACATTGGTGAGGTCGTTTCTATCTTCTTGACCGCCGCCCTTGGCATGCCCGAGGCTTTGATTCCTGTTCAGCTTCTCTGGGTCAACCTGGTCACCGACGGACTTCCCGCTACCGCTTTGTCGTTCAACCCTCCTGACCATGATATCATGAGACGTCAGCCGAGAAAGCGTGACGAGCCTCTAATCGGCGGCTGGTTGTTCTTCCGCTACCTAGTCATTGGCACTTATGTCGGTGTTGCGACTGTGGCCGGCTACGCTTGGTGGTTCATGTACAACCCCGAGGGTCCCCAGATCAACTTCTCGCACCTCTCTCACTTCCACCGCTGCTCCAGCGACTTCCCCGAGATTGGCTGCGAGATGTTCGCTAACAACGCC